ATTCCCTTTCATAATTCATTCATTCCAATTTTCACTGTTAAAAATTTCTAAAGGTGCTTATTAGAGTATGAAAAAAGTGCATATCAATATATTTGTCAATTAATTTTTTAAGGATGTGTAAGGTTTTTTATTATCATTTTTAACATTATAGTTACCATAACACCATAATTTTTAATCTTTTTAATTTAAATTTTTATTCAAAAAGATTAAAATATTTTATTTTAATATCATAGATTAAATTATTTTTAATTTTTTCTTATAATATTTTATTAAAATGGTATACTTTAATCGACAGATGAATACTTTTCTTCTTATCCCCCACCAAAAAGACTCCAAAAGCATACCAGCAGCCCTTGGTGTCAAGCCGACACACAACGCACCCAGTCTTTTATTCTCCTTAAAGAAACACTTCCAAATGCTACCTTCCACATCTCTTCGGATTTTACTCCTGACCATTTTCTTCCCTGGACGTACTTTCACCCATTCACATGGGCACATATCTCTTCCTTGTTACACATTGCAGCTCCGCTGCCTTTGTATTCCAACTTTTAGTCATACAGAATCAAATAGCCAAAATGAATGAATTAAAATAATCATCTTAAGTCCTAGCTATGTCCTATAAAGAGTACTTGCATCAATCCCATTGAGGTTCCTCCTCATCTTCCAATGAGTGAAGATAGACAAATTGATCCAGCAATCATTCATCCATCCATCCATCCATCCATCCATCCATTGCTCTTTTGCAAGAAAGGTTCAGACAGTTGGAGAGAGCCAAGGAGATAAGGCAGGAGAAAGAGTTCCTACGGATGTTGCCTAAATCAAGGCAGATCAATGCAGCTATGCCTTATGTGCCATGCAGATCGCTTTTACACCCTGTACTCATGCTTCAGTCAAAGTTGCCTCTTCAGTGTACACTCAAAAGAGAAGCTAGTCTGCAGAGCAAGAATACCCAGTTTTAGGCCATTGAGACTCCAATATTGGAGAATTTATGGTCCAGAGACACTGTCATATGCACAATTGACCATGCTGATATTTCAGATGTTGATACTTCCATCTCTTACAATGTTAGTCTATCGAGTAATCCTGTGGTTTCCTTCCATTTCTTCTTCATGGTGCGGTAAGAATATGGGAAAGGAAAAAAAGGAGCTAAAGAAAAAGAAAACATAATATGCAATGTAGCTAATTTCCATTATCCTATGTATCTTCAGCAACTACATAGCGATTAGAAAGGCGATTCTCTTCTCTCTTCTGAAATGCATTCTCAGCATAGGTAATGTTATCCAATTTGTCACAGTTCCCTTTCCTCTTCATGATTTTAGGAATCAATTGAGTTACTTCTTTGGCCTTTGACATTGCTTCCCCATTGTTTATCTACTCAAAACGAACAACACTAACCTTTCAGGCATTTGCTGCTAATACCTGCACCAGGGACAACAGTTCACTCACATTAATCGGTTTTTCAATTGATGCTCAAGACTTAGTCTTATTAGTCTATATAATTATCACATGTATAATTTTATTTCCAATTAAAATGTTTAAACTTGAATGTCACACAAAAATGGAGCATATGAATTATTATTATCAGTTGCTAAGTCTAATTTAGCAAACTGAGCCACCAAATGAAGCATCCCATAGGATGAGCAATATAAAAGCAGATTCCTCCATGAACAAATGCATGACCTCATAATAGCATTCATTTCAGAAACTTACACATGGAAGAAACTGCATGATTGCTCGCTACATGCTTTTTCTTTCCTAGTTTTTTTTCACTGAAATCCATTTAGTGCTTTTACCCTACCTCAAGTCTATATATTTGATGCCTTCACATCTTGATGATTGGATCCATCTTCATCGTGCTTATCATCATCATCATCATCTTGATTATCCCTTTTGAGGACCACTTTGATGCTCTCACTAGCTTTAGGGATGTATCCAAATCCTTCGCATAAAAAACCAGATACTGTCTCATACTGATGTTCCTATAGAACAGCATGGTGAACAAAGAAATGATGAATAGAGATGAAATTTACAAGTTAAGGACACTTCGATAGTTATTTACAATGTGAGGCTAACTGAGCCTCTACTTCAAAATGAATTCAATACCACATTTCGCTTTTAACTATTTACTTTATCCTTCCCTTTTTTTTTTCTTTTTTTTTTTAGTTTTTCATTCTTTTTCAAGCAGTGGTCACTTAATCTTTAAGGCAGAATAATCCCACAATAGTCATAATAAACAGAATTTTCCTTGCAACTGCGATAAAAAATATCAAGTTTATAAGCATGCCTGTTTTTAAGATTCCTATGATCAACTATGTGACAGAAATTAAATTTTAATGAGCCT